ATATATACAGAAATGATCTAATGAGCACCGGTGCTCATCTTATCCTAAACACCAATGAGTTGGCACATTAATTCATTGGTGGATTGGAACTCACAAAATCTTTATCCACCAATGAATTAATGTGCCAACTCATCGGTGCTTAGGATAAGATGAGCACCGGTGCTCATTAGATCATTTCTGTATATATATATATATATTATGTTAACTTCTACTCGGCAGATTGCCAAGTGGAAGGGTTGGGTGCACCAAGTGGCATGCATGCCACCATAAATTGAAGTTACCACACGGCAAGTTGCCGTGTGGTAATGGAGCCGCACTGTTTCAAAGCCGTGTAGTAAAAAAGTTGGGAATAGGTGTTTTGCTTTATTTAATGATTATATAACATGAATAAATAAGTAAAAATTTTCATAATCGAAAATGTAATGATTTTCTAGCCTTCCGATTTTCAAAAATCATACGGCCTTCAAAGATGGCTCGATCAATCTTGGGAAAATTTGTCAAAAAGATATCACGTGGCTTCCAAGCCATTTGTCATTTCGAACAGCTTCTGAGTCATACGGTACCAAAAACCAAACGGCTCAAAAGCTAAAGACAGTACAAAAATCGTACAACTCGACAAGTGATGTCTCATTCTCTCAAGTGTCGCATGGCTAGGCAAGCGTGCGATAACCTCACATAAGATTTTTCGGTCAGATGATTTTCATCCACCATCATAACGAATTCTACTGCCACTACAAACTATGTAATCGGATGGTTCGGCCTACGATCAAAACCGCCTTCAACAAGTAAGTGTGATCGGTCTTAAAGCCCGAATGACTCTTTCATTCGAGTATGACTTATATAAAAGAATGGGAGACTAACTGTAGTGGTAAAAATCGTTCCACAAGCCCAAACGGCCCAAGTTCAAAAAATAAAGCCCACAAATGGCCTATTTGGTGAACACAATATCTTTTGGCCCAGTTCGTTGTGTCGATCGGGCCAAATAAGACTCACATGTCAATTCGCAAATCCTTCATAATTTATGAGATAAATCACATTACGGTTTGCCCAAATCAAATAGAAGTTATCTGAATGCAAGTTGGGAATCTTAACTGAATAGATCTTATCAGTACCAACCAACAAATCTCGCCGAACCCTGTCAATCCCGCCCAAATGGTTATCTCACAACTATAAAATCTGTGGTCAGTCTTACGTTCAGGTACACAGAAAAATAAGTACTACTTTACTCTGAATTATTTCTTCTCTCTTTTGGTCTAGTATTCCTAAAATTCTTGAAAAACTTTTCTGACCTGACCGTCAGAGGGTCTTTAGCCAGCACCACAACAGTGTCCTCTTGAGATCTTTTTGCGGTCTTTATCCTTCGTTCTACTTTGTTGCAGGATTGCTAGTGGCCTGTTCGATTCGATTTTCTTAACTGTAGAATTTATCGTCTACACAACTCAATTGGTGATGTGGAGCTTTAGTGCCCGTTTAACCCTCATTGTTCCACATTTTAATGAAAGGAATAATAAATTTTTGGAGAATGTATGGTTAAAAGAAAAAAAGAAGAGTTTTTAGATTTACGTGTAATATTATTTTATTGAAAAATATATGATTAATAAGAAGAAATAAAATAAATTATAATTTAATGGGGCTAAATGAGGGCTTAGTCAATATAGTTAACATTGTAATTGAGAGGTCCCATAGTCCACACGACATCTTGCTATATGTACAGAAGAATTATAAAGATAGATAGACAGATAAACGGGTGATAAGAATTCATTGAATGTTGGGCAAAATACAATTTTAAATCAACCAATGTGTATTTGTCAAAAGCTTTTGTACAAGAAGCTTTATTTGCTCACACCCACCTAATTTGTTATATACCATGATGTTGTGGTGACGAAGATACGTTTCATGGATAGCAAATTTGGCTCTCGAGATTTCACGACTCAAAGCAGCCTTTTCCTCACTTTTAGGTCGATAAGTTCGAATGTCTGCACGCACGCTCATAGTAGGATGTTAGGGGATATTACCTAACTTTGGTAGGCATATTGACAAAACCAAAAAAGTGACCTATTTGCCCGTAAATTATCTCGTACTTGGCTAATTGCACTAAATTGAAGTTCAAGCATGATGAAAATTCAATAACCTCCAGTATAATTTTAGATTATCTAAAGTGAGAAATCGATTGATATGTTCGCAATAGTCGTTAGGACAGGTTAGCAAGCTCAGAAATGAAATCTTATTGCTCCTAGACTAAAATACAGTGACTTAATTGCACCAAATTTAAGTGTAATAACCTAGTTGTGAGTATCATAAAAATTCAGTGCCTCCAGTGCAATTTACCCTCCATTTTAAGTGGATAAACATGACTAGGAGGAATAGAGTACTGCAGTGTGCAATACCGGAATTAGAATACCAACGAAAGGGAAACTTTCTCCGAAACCACCAACCGCCAACAGAGTTCACTCAAAACACACGATATATATACAACGGCTCATTTGATTTGATATCATCCAAGCGATATTTAAATATTTCACATAAATTTTCCCAGTTAAGAGAGCGTTTTTAGCAATGGCAGAAAATGGGCGAAAAATTTTATTAGCAGTGGATGAAGGAGATGAAAGCATGTACGCACTCACATGGTGTCTCAAAAATGTTATTAGTGAGAATTCCAAAGATACCCTTATCCTCTGCTACGCCAAACCACCTCGTGCTGTCCACACAGCCATGGAGGGTACAGGTAAAATTGTGCAGTATGGGCATTTCTTGAAATGGATATATGAAGGATGGTATTGTAATATTTTTTAAAATTGTGCAGTGTGGGCATTTTCTCCGGATGTAATGGAGAGCCTTGAGAGGTACAGCAATGATGTGGCTCAGTGCGTGATTGAGAAGGCGAAAAGAGCTTGCAAGCACTTGAATGATGTGAGTTGGTAAATTTGAGATTTCTTCAAGGGTAGAAGAGTCGTTTAAAAAATAATAATTCTATGTGGTTTGGTGCATGTAGGTTAAAGTGGAGACAGTGGTGGAGCATGGAGATCCAAGGGACATGATTTGTGAGGTGGCTGAGAAATTGAAAGTGGATCTTTTAGTGATGGGAAGTCATGGTTATGGTCTCATTAAAAGGTATGAGATTTTAGCTCTTTTTAAAAAAAAAAAAAAAGTTGCTTTTTTCCAATATCAACTTATCAAGTGGGATTTCGGCCTTTAAAAAAGGCCATAGTTTGAAAAGAAATAACTTAATTTTAATTTTGTGGGCTATGTGACAAATGATATTGTTTTGTGAAAATGGCAGGGCATTTCTTGGAAGTGTGAGCAACCACTGTGCGCAGAACGCGAAATGTCCAGTTTTAATAGTGAAGAAACCCAAACCAAAGGGCGGCAATGGCAAACACTAATAATTACAAGGCTGTTTTTCGTTTGCATGTATAGAAGTAGAATATAGATCAGGCGTGGGGTCCACTTTTGTTTTCCATTTTGGTCCTTGTTTGGGTTCTGTAATTTGGGTTCATGTGTTTTCTAGGGGTTCGTTTAATTTGTTATGAACTTATAGTGGATTTTGCTCACTTTTGCTTCTTCAAAAAACTGTCCCCCAGTGGTTCAGGTCCAAAATGTTCATAAATCTAAGCGTTCGCAAGGATTATCATTACAACACTAATAGAGATTCAACAGACCGTTGTCTTCCATGGACCCTTGTACTCGGATCAGGCATCTCCTTTGGGATGTCATCATAACCCTACAGGCATCAACTCACAAGTCATAAACATGTGCTCTCGCGTTAAACAGTGCATCATTGTAGAAAAGGAAGGCCATGAAACTTTGAAGTTCAGTTACCTCAGGCTTCTTGTCTTCAGGGTCAGGAATGTACTCCTTGTCATCCCAATCTTCAGGCTGTCATCAACATGCAGCAAGATCACTTTCATTGAACCAATGGAAGTACAAAATTGTCATCTATAATTGCACCAAGAAATACCTTCTTGGCTCGGGATCCTTGATCGTCTTTGGTGGCAGAAGATCCCAATCAGAGTGCAAGCTACCAGATTGCTTCTCCACATTGTCAACGAGGATGCTGTAAGTAGCATCAGGCCTGATGACAAATGTATAGACATGAGTCAGTTGATCCGTCTCACATGGGAGTTGGGACTTCCTTCTTGAGCAAGTGGTTTGTCCCCTTGTAGGTGAGAATAGCATGGACTTTCTTGGTGCTGTAGCCACAAATAATCTGGCCCAAACATGATGCTGCATTCACCCATATATTACAACCAAATCAGCACCTTCAACAGGGACAACTTACCAAATAGGAAACACCTGCCAGATGGCTAGAGCATATGATGTTACCTGTATGGGGTGTCACCGCCAAATTTCTTCTGATCAATGTCACCACTGAGCAATTTCATGTATCCACCACCACAGTCAAGCTTCTGTTCATGCTTGACGGAGAACTGGAAAACTAATGTCTTGTCCTTGTTGCTGAATTCAGGGAACTCAGCTGAGATAGCATAGAACCTGTAATCTTCACTGGTCTGGATACCTGCACTAAGACGTACAAGTAAATCCCCATTGCACATCATATATTCACTATATACAAAATCACATACATATATATTGCACAAACATATGTATGTACTTGGACTCGTCAGCCTATGACATGTATCCCTTTGTCGGTAGAGTCTCCATTCCATTTACCAGAGGTAAAGTTACATTCTCCAGCCATGTTCTGATCTTTCTTCCAGTCAGGTTTGACCCACCGATTCTCCCATCCATCTTCATATTTCACAAAGCAAAACATTCAATGCAACACAACCATTCTAACAGCAGTTAAAGCTATCATTATTATAAAAGAGAGTTAAATGTCACCATTTTTTTATGAACGAAAGTGATCCAATCAAATCTGAATAGAGAAGTATCACTTGTCCAAGGTAAAAGGAAAGCTCCATTAAGTGAGCTAAATGACACATTTTTTCACAAGTCTCCTGTTTCTATATGCCTAGTTTATCTCACCTTTTTTTTTTTTGGCCCTTTTTGAAGTTTGTATAGTTTCCACCAAACAAATATTACTAAAACCATGTTTCTTCATTGAAAATAGAAGTTCTAAATAATCCAATTACCCAGCCTTTGTTTTTAGTTAGAGATCAAAGTAATTGAATTTCTATTTTTATCATTTTCAAGTTGATTAGCTCAAAAATCAATTTTTACTAATTTAACAATTCAGATTTACTTTTATTACATGCTGAACCAAGCAACCTAGAGATTTGTTGTCTCGAATTCATTGTGTCGATATATATTTTTAACATCTCGGCACATCACATCTTCTTAATACAGATACATGAAAAATATAACAAGTTGAGATATTAGATTGTCCTAATAATATCGTCAATACATTTGAAGAGCTTACCATAGTTTAGGCTGCAAACTTCTCTAGGTAAAGATAAATTTGCAGTGTACATCAAATTCAGACAAGATTTTCACAAAAAAACTGAAACTTGAATACTGGGAGCAGCTGTGTTTCCAACTTAATGCAACTTTAATAACACAACTAATTGTCATTTCAACACACAAACATGCTGCTGAAACTCCAATTCATCAAGGACCTGAGGGGCAGATGATGGTTGGTTTCTGAACTCGACCAACCGATATAAATTGTTGTATGACGATAACTGCAGCATCTCATTGCAATTATTTCAACGATAAGAAACTTTCACTTGCCTCTGTAAAGGAGAAGTTCTTGCTTACCGTTCCATCTCAATATCAATATCAATATCATAAGATGCACTCGAGCTTCCAACTTCAAGACACGGGCACAGATAGCCATTAGATATTTCTTCATGAAATTCATAATAGGTTTCTTAAAGTTAACTTTCAGTGCCTGATAGTACAATTAATCATCTAGGAAGAACAATCAAAATGCAGTTCTTTATGTTAAAAAAATAATTCCGAAAGTTAAATATGTTCGTGTACTGAAAGGATGTAAATGTATTCGTTTGCTGAAGATCTTTTCATAACATTTCTTTCAGCTTTCTGACCCTAGCAGCCTCCTTAGATAGCAACTTTTTCAACTTCTTGCATGAGTTAGTTTATCATAGAACTGATCCTCAGATTAGGACCTTTTAGCTTCCACTATTTTTCACGCAAAACATGCTTTCAATTATGGCCTCTTTTTTAAACACAAGTAGAAGTCATGATTCACAGTTTTATCGAAGATTTTACAAAGACGGTCCAACTTATTCAACGGAAAATGAGATGATTAGCCGGTGTTCGGCAAGTTTATTAACCAATGGCTGGCTCCTTACTGTCATGAACTAACGATATAATCCTCGGGGGATATAGCCCCATCACCTGATAGAGATCATCCACAGCATTTTTACAGTTGTTCCTTCAAAAAAAATGATTGATAAGGCATGCATTCAGAGACGGATCCAGGACCGGATTAAAGGTCGGGCTAATACGTAAAAATAAAATAAAATTATACATGATTTTTTTTTTTTACATAATTTTTTTTTCTAACTAAAAAAAATTTAGTTGGGGGAGGCTGGGGGGGGGGGGGCAGCCCCCTACATCCNTACATAATTTTTTTTTTTTTTTGGGTAGCCCCCCCCTAAATCCGTCGACCCTGCGTGCATTAATATCAAGTGGAGAGCATGAGATTAAACACATGCCAGTATGGACCTTCTTTTTCTTTTGGGATGGGGATTGGGGAGAGAATACCTATGTTTACATTGACGATTGCATGTTTTTCCCTGTGAAGCAGTAGTTTGGCTTGAAATCCACACAATCACACTACAACAAAAATAGTCTTTTACAACATTCAAAAAACGTTGCCGAAAATCTTTTGTAACGATTTTAAGTATGTTGCAAACCTCGATATTGTCGTATAGTAGAAGGATACGACAACGTTTTTTTTTTTTAGTGTTGCTATAACGTTAAAAAACGTTGCGAATAACCTTTTTGCAAAGTTTTTCGAGTGTTGATAATAACTCTTTCGCAACATTTTTTGACCGTTGCCGTAGGTTTTTGTTATAGCAATTTATGTAAGTTAAATGGCAAAAATGAAAATACTCATTGGAAACAAAGTTTGAAATTGCATAAAAATAGATAATTTCATTACAAATTTTTGAATCTTTACACTCTTTTAGAAAACAAATAACTTCAAGCAGTTCGGCATAATCAATATCTTGCAATATGATTTACAATTAATAAAAAAAAATGAAAACTGCCATGCAAAGAACATCCCATATGAAAATCTACAATTAGAAACGGCAGTGGATATAAGAAGCCCTCGGAGATATAATACAGACAACAAAATTATAATGAAAACAGATACAAGACTTCAGTTTAAGTAGTGCAAAATGCTTGCTTCAAACAGCATTGCAACGTCCATCATGAATCTAATCTGGCACCGAAGTCCACTCTCACCGAAGCGGTTCCATGGAATGGACCTACTGAAACCCTTTTACTGAAATGGTGAGGCTCAACAAAGTCAAATTCAAAGTTCTACCACGACGAGTTACGACCCACATTTGAAGATCCTGAACTTCTGTAATGAGTAACATGTCGAAATTTTGTCAACATAAGTTGTAGGGTGGCTGCTCCGTTTTTAGGAGCATGTAATGCGCCACAGGCTACTTTGGTCAAAATTGATATATAGGATAAGATGTTTCAGTTAAAGAGGTGAGGCAACGCGTCCCCTCATCCAATGAAAATCATTTCATATGTAATACTATAAATATTATCCCTTTTATGTCATTTGGGGGTAATACAAATAGATCTCCTGTAAGGTATATATCCTCTACTTTTGAGTTAAATCCGTTGTTACCAAGGTCAGATGTTTGATCTTGGTTTTTGTTGATTGTTATTTATCATGCAAATCCACTCATATACCTTGTCAGCACCCGAACATACTTGTCTCATGTTATAAAACTTTTTCCACGTTCAAATTCGAAATATTGTTGATTAGTAATCTATTCATACGTGTTGGAATTTGTTTGCGTAGACACGAGCCGACGAGCGTGCCAAATATCTGTTCTCCACGTCAACGAGACAAAAAATGGGTCAACAAAAAGTGCATAAAAATATTTTTTCCTCATTTCAAAGTATAAAAATAAAATACTTTGATATAAATCATCAACAACTTTTAATATATTTAATTACCACTTTGATTTGATTTGATTAGCATTTTCTTTTAGCTTATCAAATAACATTAGTCATGCACATCTTTACATGGGCCCTCAACTACACAATTTTCCACGAGAATTTTTGAAGGGAGCGGATTCGAAGCATTTTATGTGGAAGTTTTAGAAAAGTCGAATGAGACAAATAGCAAATTTAAAATGCAGAAATTGAGAGAGAATACATAGATTTAACTGTATGAAATTTTTTCTTAACCGATTATATATAGCTATCAAAATTTAATTTATGTGGACTTAAATCAACGTTTTCAAAATCACAGTTTCAATTTGATTTTATGAGCTGACGATCGTGTTCTTAAGTGAGTAGTAATTGTGATTTGAGTGGAGAGAAAAACATGTATATTTTTTCTTAATCTTAGAGGTTTCAAGTGAATTAATACTTATTCTGGTACTTCAGCTGTAAAGTTATAATTCGAACTTTTTTTTTTATTAGTGCTCGGAGCATTTTCCATTAGTGAAAGCTCAATAGGGGTATTAGAAAGTTTCAATTTAAGAGTTATAGTGAAATTATAAACCAATATATTTATTTTTCCACTCGTTTGAAAGATGTTTATTTTTACATGCTAAGATTGTTGCTTAAAATCAAATCAAACCGCAAAAAAATGATTTGATTTAGTTTGGTTTGAAAATTTTATCAAATCGTTTCAAATGATTTGACTTGAAAATAAAAGTCACACAAATCGAACTGTGTTCACCTCTATAAAAATGGAATCTACTTTAGATTGACTATTACAAGAATTGATCTCTTGAAACCCTAAATTTTGAAGAGAAACAAAGACAAAGAGGGAAGGAGAGTCTTGAATTTAATGTGCAATTGCATAAGATTCCCATGATCATTTTGCCCCATATCACCCATCTCATAACATAGACCGATTCTCATTATACACAAATCTATCATTAAGTTCATTGTTCTAGACTTGCACATGGTGTAAATACTTGGAGGGACAGTTTACCTCCGTTACCTCACGCACGTACACAAACGTACGTGGCCGCAAGGTGCCACGTGTAACACACATAAAGAATGATTCTATAAATTGAAATCAGTCGAAATAAATATATTTTTAATTAAAACCTATTAATTACTTGTGCTTTGTGTTTCAGACTCGATTCTATTTTCCACAGGCACGTATAGAGAGACCATGATACTTATGACGGAATCCAGTTGTAAGGAAATGAAAGTTTAGGAGTTTAGTTGCTCCTATTAACAATATTGGACCTCATTGCTTTATTTCTAATGCATTGAGTACCTTGGTTGTAAATATCCCGTGTTTAAACCAATATCATTTATGTCTCCACTTCCGACCTCTACAGCAAATTTGCCCCAACCTTACAAGCTAAACAGAAATTTAAACCCTAATTCTGATTTTATCTTCGACGGATAGTTCTCTCAATCTGGTAAGTTTCTTCACATATACGTGCATAATTGTACACATATGTATATATTTGTTTACATAATTTTCAAGGGATTTAACTTAAAGAGTACAGAGCCTGTATCTTTCATCTGGATTTTATTCTGAGAATGATTTTCAGATGCATACCACGGTTTTACTACATAGAGCATAGAAAATTGCTTCTAGGTTACCGTTTTTTGGTTTTATATAACTCGATGCGAAATATGGATGTGAACCCTTTATTGTGACGGAAAAAAATCAAACGATGAGATTCCGTTTTGGATAAGAAGGATCATCGCATAAAGTTTTCAAATTGTAGGGATTTTTACTGTGTAAATTTGGAATAGTTTATTTTATTAAGTTTTTTTGCTTTTTGTGTTTTATTTAGGGTTTTGAAGACATGGACACCAGACGTTATGATGGCGAACTGCAGATGCGTGGTAAAGATAGACAAGAACTGAAATTTGATGAGGTAGTGACTAAATAATGTTAATTATGCTTTGTTTTGATTAGACGATCGATATACATTTTAGCATATATAGTTTTTGTCCAGGCTCATGCCTCATGGTTTACTTTAAAGCTTTAAATTTTCAAGCTATCAAATGAGAGCTATTAGCTGTATATTTTGGTAATAGCACGTACACTGGAAACTTGTTTTCAGTTTTCCATTGAATAAATTTTCTTTTCAAAAAATGGTGCAATTTGGTAAAACTATTAAGCACTTGTTTGGCCCCCATTTCCCAAACTCATTTTCAACAATACATTCTCCTAATAAAATAATTTTGTACTTAAATTTAAAACTTTTCTCTACTTTTAACCCCCACATTCTAAAAAAATCTCTACCAAACGGGGTTAAATGTTTTGGACCATTTGGTGAAACATGATTAGTATCAGCATATTTTTCATGGTTTCATAGAATATTTGGCCTCTGTTTGGTTTAGATTAAAAACATATTTTTAGTAGATTTTGATAAAAGTTGGTGACATATGTGGTTGAAAAGTTGTGTGTCTAATGAAATGTGTGGTTTAAATTAAATGTTGACTTCTGTCCTGGTGCTATTCTGTTTTGCTTTTACATGAATCAACTTTCTGTGGTCGTCCTGATTTTCCATGAAAGATTTTGTTCTTCAGTCAGTGCACTGTGAAACAACAATGTGGTGATGATATTGGTGGAATGGTGAAATTACTTTTTTCAAATTTTTCATGTCATAGGCATATGAGGCTTCTGTTCTAGAGGATCTTGCAGAGGATTTCCGACTACCTATACATCATAGACCAACAGAAAATGTAGATTTAGATAACGTGGAGCAAGCATCATTAGACAGACAACTTACATCATCTAACATTGGATTTAGGCTTCTCCAAAAGATGGGGTGGAAAGGGAAGGGTCTAGGAAAGGATGAACAAGGTATGTTTACTGATGAATGCCTGTGCCTCACTTATGGATCCCCTTCCCAATATGTACATATCATGGGTGCATATTTGATCGGTTACTTATAAATTTGTTGATCTTGTGCCTTCTTTTAGTAGACAAGTTATACTCTCAAAGCGAAACCTTTTCCCCCTCTCGATTTTTTCTCTTACATGGAATCTTGGTTCTGGAGTTGTTTCCTTCATTTAAACCTTTATATCTGTTCATGGTGGCGTCTGTAATCATTTGTATTGATTTAAAATCTAATTTGATGCAAGCCATAACATTATGTTTGTTAGCTTAGAAATACCGCTTCCAAGATTGATAGAACTGTCAGCCATAAGCTCTAGTGTAGAAATTTATTAGTTTTGAGTGTGAACGGTGAATTATTGTTAATTAATGGCCCTTCATGTTGATGCTGCTTCTTCATACATATTAAGTTTGTGAAGTATATAAAAAGAAGGAAGTATGAATTTGTTTACTATAAAACCTACTTCTTTATGAATTTATCCAGCTTCCACAGGATCATGGACATTAATGGTTTCCCCAAACATCATACCATTTCTTCTTTTGACTGTATGTTGTCCTTTGGTTTGTCACAAGGGATTGTCGAGCCAATAAAATCAGGAATAAGAGATGCAAAGTTGGGGCTTGGAAAACAAGAAGAAGATGATTATTTTACAGCAGAAGAAAATATCCAGCGAAGAAAGCTGGATATTGAATTTGAAGAGACTGAGGAACTTGCAAGGAAGAGGGAGGTATGACTTCTAATTCTTTCTTGGTATTTAAAAGAAAATATCCAATTGATGCTTTACAATTTTTCAAACACAATTTAATAGCAGAAGTCAGCATATAACTTATATGTGTGACTTTTGATGGAATGGTATATCATAAAGGGATCATCAACAGTTTTTATTACCTGGAGAATTCTACTGCCTGCTTCCTGCACATTATTAAAATCCAGGTTATAGCAGAACGGGAGCAGAAAATTCAAAGCGAGGTGAAAGAAATACGAAAGGTGTTTCATTGTGAGCTTTGCAACAAGCAGTATAAATTGGCAATCGAGTTTGAGGCCCATCTAAGCTCATATGATCACAACCACAGGAAGGTAGTTTCTCCTTAAAAATTTATACTAGTTTTTTGTTTTATTAATGATATATATCCTATCTAAAATCTACTATGCTCTTTGTTCGAGAATTTCAGAGGTTCAAACAAATGAAGGAAATGCATGGAAGCAGCAGTCGCGACGATAGACAAAAAAGAGAACAACAGCGGCAAGAACGGGAGATGGCAAAGTTTGCCCAGATGTACAGGCTTATTCGTATACTGAAATTTTTTATTTTATATATTATATCTGAAATAAATATTTTAGCCATCTTTTCTTTTGTAATCCCTTTTTTTTTTCAATGGAGATTTTTTTATTTTTTCTCTAACAGGGCTGATGCACGTAAGCAACAGCAACTGCTGGAGAGTGAGGAATCTAGGGATATTTCAATGCCTGTTGCAGTAAGGAGTGCTACACTAGTTGCAGATCAAGACCAGCGGAAAGCTTTGAAGTTTGGATTTTCTGCCAAAAGCAGCGCATCCAAGGTATTTACAAGTTGCTTCTAAGAGTTGGAAACGGTTTGTGTTGTTGCTTTTAGCTTGTTTATCTGCTTCGTAAATATTTTGGGTTTTACTAATATGAGCCCATTGAGACACATTGAAACTGCTTACTCCTGATCCGCATTCTTGTACAAGTACTAATATTGTTATGCATTTAACACTGAAGCAAGAAAAGTCCAACAATATATTAGTTAAGAGAATGAAAACCAACGTGTAAAAGGTGAATTGATGTTATGCAGAAATTATGGCGTAATTGGGTAAGAAGCTGGGAATTTGGAAGGCAATTAATTTGGGGAGCCGTGGAAAATTCCAAATGTCCTAGAGTATAGCTTAAAAGGTTATTCTTTGGATGTAAAACCTAACTAGTACGTGCTCTACATTTTAATAAATTTCTCTAGCTCTTCTAGTCTCTTATTTTGGTGCTGTAAATATCCTAAATATGCAGGGCTTTTGCCTGTATCTAGGATTCTAGAGCTGGAATTCTCTGAAAAACCTTAGCACACTTCTCCCTTTAAAGATGCAAGTCCTTTCTTGTCAGAAGGTGATAAGAAAGGTCAACATTTTGAAATCATGGTAGAACTATTAACTTTTAGTGGTCCAAACTGCAACCTTTTTGACAACCATATGATCGTTGTAGATATTCTCTCTGAGGCTGATGCTTTGTCTTAGAAAAAGATCTTCAAATATGTCATCAGGGTTTCTTCTCAAGCATGGCCTGCTGAAGCAAAAATTCAAACCATAGACTGCATTCAGTTTTAGAATCTATATAAATAGAAAAGTTTAACTGTACAAAATATTGTGCAAATATTAATACTTTAACACGAGAATTATTAGCGATTTCACGATATAGTGATATGCTATTACTTTCTATTATGTTAAAAAATGTTGTGCAAGTAGAAATACTTGAACTCCGCTGCTTCATCCAAACGAACATATAATTTTTTCTGATTGTTCCAGTGCCTGTAACTCGACAACAATTCTTTTTCACCCTCGCCTTGCCAACCTTCTGTGATTGAACATATATTGTTTCATCAGACTTCACACTGTTATTCTTTTAGCTTTGGTAAAGTGATACTTTTCTTGTGAAGCAGAGCTCTGTGGGTAATGCTGCAAAGAAGCCAAAGGTACCAGTTGCCTCAGTTTTCGGTAATGACAGCGATGAGGAGTAGGAACAATCAATCCCTTTTTACTGGCCATTAGTTGTTTGATGTGAGAGTATTTTATCTAGATGAATGTTCCATCATACCTGTCTTGTACTCGCCTTAGTTAAGGTTAATATGTAATAAGAGTCGGATAAATTATTCCGAGAGGATACCTTAAACTGTTATAAACAGAAGAAGCTCTTAACATTTATATTGGTAAACTTGATTTTGTAAGTTATATGAGGTGCTTGTTCAAATCCTCGATAGATGTTTCTTTCAATGATGTCATCCCTAATAGTGCTACCTTTTTCTAATTTTATTGTCCGCCCCTGCATATTTATAATGGAGGTGGAAGCACAGAGCAATTGTGTATACTTCGTTGTTAAATTGATAGCATGTAGCTCTGTCTTCCCTCTACCGCTGCCTTTCGTACAAGAAGATGGATAGTTATTTTTTCTTGGAAGTTCTTTATAAATTCACTTTCATTCTTTCAAATTCACAACTCCTTATGTTTGGTGTACATTAAAATGAGAGAGTGCATTTTTTTGAAGTGATGTGATGGAAAATATGTGGTTAAAGATGAAGGAAAAGTTATTGATGTGATGAAAAATATTATTTTATTGAAGAATGTGTGGTTGAAAATGAGTAGAAGAATGAGAATGAAAAATATAATGTGTCAAACAGGGCCTCAATAATCTGGAAAATTGTTGTACCACTATTTCACCTGTGCACAAAGGGTTATTATTGGTCAGTTTGACGTGATTTTTAAAAAGTCAAAATGAACTTTTGAGATCCAAAAGTTATTTTTATACCTGTTTGGCTAGTTTTATGAGAACGTTTCTTTTCGTGTGAAAAAAATTGATTTAATGTGACTTCTTTTTAAAATACTTTTAAAAGTGGATGCTCCTTTAGAAATTTGTTTTCAAACAAAAATTAATTGGTTTTTGTACAAAGTTCATTTACAAAAAGTAAGCAAAAAACAAGTCATGCCAAACGAACTTTAAGCAACACACTCATTTTTGAGGAATAAGTCATCTGTCCAGCCTGCCATTCTACAGTCGTGGAGTCTTAGAGATCGTTTGGTGCACATTAAAACAAGAGAATGCATTCTTTTAAAGTGATGTGATGGGGAGTATATGATTGAAAAAGAAAGAAAAATTATTGATGTGATAAAAAAATCTTATTTTATTAAAAAGTATATATTTAAAAATGAGTAAAAAAATAAAAATAAAAAAAATAATGTCTCTCAAACAGTAGCTTACTTTGCAGCTCAATCCAAGCCAGGCACGGACTGACAAGAATTATAGATTAACCATGACGTAATAAGTTGACAAGATATTTCATAAGGATAAGACGTGACATGATTTTTAACATCTACCACTATCTATTTTTCTCTATATATTTTATATATAAATAAACCATTTTCATTTTTAGGTATGTGGAATCTTTCATCAAGTTAAATTTCTATCAATTCGTCTGTTTCAACTTCGAATCATGTTACTGTGCTACATATGTAGACATAAAGTCACGTTACGTTCTATTATTCAATGATTTAAATCAGTCAATTTTTTCATTTAACCATATCTCATCTCGTCAAGTGTCAACAGCTTTCTACTTTAGGTCCTGTTTGGGAGGGATTAAATTTTTCTACAGTAAATCAATTCTCATTTTCAACCACGCATTCTTCAATAAAATAATATTTTCATCACATCAATAATTTTTTCTTTTTTTTTCAACCTCACATTTTCCAACGTATCACTATTCAAAATCAATTCTTCCCCCAAACATCCCTTCCAAACAAGCTCTTACTATTTTTGGGGTGGGAACTCGATAACAATGACAGCAAGCACCAATGATTGGGCAATGAAAAATGAAGACAAGCAACTGAATATCTCTTGCACTCTTCTCCGCCCATAAATAAAAGGGTTCAATATCTTCTACTTTTTTTTTTCTCCTCTCTATTTGGAAACCTTTTTAATCCTTCTACTGCAATTCCGTATACAAATTGAAGTCATTCCAAAGCACAACGTCGTAAGTTCCCGTCCCAGACCACCCATGAGTGATGCATGTTCTTGAGGTTTTAGCGTTTGTCACTTGAGTTTTCTCTTTGTGGGTTCACTCAGAAATCAGATTAATTTTTCTGGGTTCTTGTTTAATTTTTTAGTATCTGCTATTAATTTCAATATGGCTATGCGTATATTATGCTCTAAAACCGGTGGCAAATATGAAATTTTGGATTCCAATTTTGTAGATGTTATAAATATATCATTTTACACATGCCTAATAATAATTTGCAATTGATTGGTGGATAACTGAAACTAAATACTTGATTAATCAATTTTAAGGCATAATGATCCTCTATGCTATTGTGACTAAAGGATATTCTGTGTGTTCTTTCTTATCTGTACTTAACCTGCAATTTTTAGTTTCTAAATACTTATCCAAGGTCCGAACTTACCGTTTATTCTTATCTTAGTCTGATTATTAAAATGCTGTTATAAACGAAGAACATAACGTAGTGGATTTCATTTCACCCTGGTTATGTCACATAAGCTTATCATTGAGTAACATGGAAAGATAAAGGCTCTAGATGAACTGTTGAGGAAGCAAGCTTATATTGTTAGGGAATATTCATCTTCTACCACATTTGATCTTGTGATCTTGACTGCTCCATTTTACTTTCATAGGCACGTAATCACAAGTCTTTCCTGAACTGAGCATAACCATATACTAAGGTTCCTTTTCACTATACTTTTCAGTAATGTCCTGATTATGTAAATGACTTCAATATTGGATATCCTTGCCATAATTACATATGATCCCAATTGTTGTTTTGAAAAAAAAAATTGGGTACCATCCGACTCTGTGTGGTTGCTTGATGATGCTCCTTTATTATGCTTTTTTACACCTATTCTAGCCCCTACTAATTTTTGAAATGAAATATGTATGTTATAAACGAGAGTTGGATAATCAGATTTTAACTTTAGAAGATTAGCAATTCAAAAGGAAGGCTTAGGAGTTTGGCTACTGCATCAATAATTTGATTTGTAACTATTGGGTTCTGCAGAATTTGATCGTGGCATGTGTTGCAACTATTTATATAATGAAATCCCATTTTTCTTGAATGTGTAAGTTGTCTACCTTTTCTTATATTGTTCCTCTGAACAGTGAACTAAACCATGGCTGGGAAGAAAGTTATAGCCATTTGTCGATCAGGTGGTGAATTTGAGGCAGATAAAGATGGTGTACTTTCTTATAAAGATGTTTATGCTTATGCCATGGAAATCAATGATCACGTGGACTTTAATGATTTCAAGTTGGAGGTAGCGGAAATGTTTAACTTCAACCTTTATACCACGTCAATTAGATATTTCCTTCCTGGAAACAAGAAGACTCTTATCAGCATTTCCAATGACAAAGACCTTGTGCGTATGATTAAATTCCATGGTGACTGTGACACTGCCGAGATATATGTTATGACAGAAAGAGTTCTTGCTCCTGATGTCTCACACATGCCAGGCAGTAGGTAGATCTCTTGCTATCTAATAGAATTGTTGCCTTTTACGGATGAAAAACATAGGAGCATTCTATCTTGCAGGTCGAGTAGGACAACTATGTCAGAAGCTGAGTTTCCTGTTGATGTTCTTTCAAGTATGATGAACGATGTTGTGGATGACATAAACCAGCCTGATCTCCTTCTTGATGTTAATTTTGATGCAGTAGGTGATACTAACCAGTTTGAGTCCCAAATTGGTGTTCCAATAGAAATGCCTGTGCCAATTTCTTTTGTTGGTTCCTTTGACCAAAAACATGCTGAAGCCGAACGGCTGTGGCTGAACAATATTACTGGTGTGGGCCAGAGGTTCAATAGCGTCCATGAATTTCGTGAGGCATTGCAAAAATATGCCATTGCGCATCAGTTTTCTTTCAAGTATAAGAAGAATGATAGTCACCGTGTGACTGTAAAATGCAAAGCAGATGGTTGCTTGTGGAGAATTCATGCATCTAGGTTGTCGACCACCCAACTGATTTGTATCAAGAAAATGAATCCTATACATACATGTGAGAGATCTGTTGTAACAACTGGTTATAAGGCAACAAGGAGTTGGGTTGCTAGTATCATAAAAGAGAAACTGAAATTTTTTCCAAATTATAAGCCTAAGGACATTGTTAATGACATCAAACAGGAGTATGGGGTCCAACTAAACTACTTTCAGGCATGGAGGGGGAAGGAGATAGCTAAGGAGCAGCTCCAGGGATCTTATAAAGAGGCATATGGTCAGTTGCCAATTTTCTGCGAGAAGATAATGGAGACAAACCTTGGGAGTCTCGCTACTTTTACCACTAAAGAAGACTCAACATTTCATCGTCTCTTTGTGTCGTTCCATGCTTCTTTGTATGGCTTTGAACAAGGTTGTCGGCCTTTGCTTTTCTTAGATAGCATACTTTTGAAGTCAAATTACAAAGACACATTGTTGGAAGCAACAGCTGCTGATGGGAATGATGGAGTTTTTCCTGTTGCTTTTGCCATTGTAGATGTGGAATCTGACGACAACTGGAGTTGGTTTTTACTACAACTCAAAACTGCATTGTCAACATGTCTTGGAATAACTTTTGTTTCAGACAAAGAGAAGGGACTAAGAGACTCGATCATTGAAATTTTTCAGAATGAGGATGTTCACCATGGTTTCTGCCTACGCTGTCTCTCAGCGCAACTTATTAGAAATTTGAAGGGGCAGTTTTCTCATGAAGCAGACCGACTTATGGTTGAAGATTTCTATGCTGCAGCTCATGCCCCTACACCTGAAGGCTTCCAAAGGTGTATGGATAGCATTAAAAGTATTTCAACAAAAGCATACAATTGGGTTATGCAAAGTGAGCCCATTTATTGGGCAAATGCATTCTTCCGAGGTGTGAGGTATAACCATATATCAAACTTTGGAGAGTCATTCTACAGTTGGGTATCTGATGCACATGAATTGCCAATTACCCAGATGGTTGATGCAATACGAGGTAAGATTATGGAATTGATTTATATGCGGCGGACAGAATCTAACCAATGGTTGACAAGATTGACTCCGTCAATGGAGGAAAAATTAGAAAGGGAAAGCTTGAAAGTGAGAAGGCTTCAGTTATCAAAATCCACTGGTAACAAATTTGAGGTCCGTGGGGATTCTATTGAAGCGGTAGATGTGGATAATTGTGACTGTAGTTGCAAAGGTTGGCAGCTTACTGGGTTGCCTTGCTGCCATGCCATTGCAGTCATTGGTTGCCTGGACCGCAATCCACATGATTACTGTGCACGATACTTCACAACTGATTGCTACAGAGTTACATATTCAGAGTCTATACATCCCATTTCAAACGTGGATGACCCCTGGCAGAAAGGTACTTCACAATTTGGTACAACTGTAACTCCCCCAACTCGTCGTCCACCAGGCCAGCCTACTACTAAAAAGGTTGGCTCACAAGAGGTAGTGAAACGTCAACTCCAATGCAGTAGATGCAAGGGTACTGGGCACAACAAGTCAACTTGTAAAGAGTTTTTGGAGTGCTAGGCTATGTAAGTACGATTGTAACCTTTTTGGGAGAAATTATTTTAGATATATCTATTTAACGTTCTCAAACTACTGATGACTTCCAATGACTCTGGTACATTTAATTATCTGGAGATCAATATGAAAAGAAAGCAAAACACATGACATCAATAATTCTCCCCTCTGTTCACAAGTTATATCTCGTATTACATGACTTTTCTGCATGATATAGGTAGGCTTGCAGTCTGCTTGCTTAGAAGTATACTTTTATTTTTTTCATACAAATTCTTTCTGTTTGTTAGTTTTACATTTGGCACAGTAAGATCAGCCTCCTTGAGCCTTTCAATCCGCTAAATGGTCCATTTGTCATGTAGTTAGGAATTCGTTGACATGCTCGGGTCATCTGACTCACAATTCGTGTTTTGCGTTGGTTGCCTATTGCCTGCCTCTACTATTCACTTTGAATTATCATTCAATACGGTGAAATTTTTTATGTGAGACACGATACTATATGTCTGTGGCATGTAGCTAGGAATATCTTCATGAACGGAAAATTACTCATGTTCAACATCAAGCAGTTCTATATGGAAACAAAGAACTAAGTGCACATTGTTTCTTTGTCTTTCCTATTTTCCATCTTCATCATTACTGGCAGAAGTGCCAGTTTGATTTCCATGGAAGGAAGCTTGCAATAAGAGTTGATGTCTAAGGGAGACCATAGTTGCTCCTTCTGTCGATTTTTTAAATATTTTGAAGTGCTGCTGCTATGCTATTCTGTAAGCATATATCTTCATTTCTGTGTAGCTCTTTCGTACTTAGTGGGTGTTTGATGGGAATTAAAATTATATTTTTAGAAGATTGTGATAAAAGTTTTTAAAATGTGTGCTTAAAAAGTTATGGGACCCATGAAAGATGTGGTTAATATTGATTCTTTGACTTTGAATTAAATTAATATCTGATTTTAATTCGTACCAAACAAGACCTTAAATTGGGGGTTCCAACTCTAATCTTCATACCCATCATGATTAGTAACATAATAGTGAAGACAGAGTTTTGCTTGGAAAAAATTGAAGCCAAAAAAGTGAATAACCTATTCGTGGTAACATTTTCCCTTTTTTTTTTTTTTTTT